AGAGAATAAATGCATGCTGGTATATTATTTGGTGAAAGAAAACATGTAAGAGACAAGAGGAAGAAAGTGGAAGAATCACTTAGTTGTGGTATTGACCCAAATCATCTAATATTCATCTTGGAATTTTAGGGCACGGAGCTACCTGCAGGCTTTGAAGATCACCAGGTCCAGTGTGACTCCAGGTTTTGCCACATAAAATCTGTTTAATCCCTGACTGTGGCCAAAGCAATCTCTGATGTTAAGTTTTCTTAGGCAATGTGAATGATATGAAGAATACCTTCTTTCCCATTGACAGTTTAATGAGTTTAGTATAAAGTTTCTAACCTACAACTAGTATGACTAGTATGTTTTAATATTGTTTTTAGAACCAGAGGCATTGCTCTGGTCCTCAAAGAGCCCACAGATTAAGGCTGAAAAAAAAAAAAAGAAAAAGAAAAAACCCTTAAACTTCTCTAAGTATAATGCTACATGTTTTTTGTTTTTCTAAAATCAGAGTGAACTGTATACAAGAAGCAAACAAGTACAAATAAAAGTATACTAGAACAACAGGGGAAAAATTAAATACTTGCAGTGGCCAGGAAGGCAACATGAATGAATGAAGTCTTCCTGGTGGGCTCTGTGGTCAAGGGGAGAGTGCATGCCCTATCTTAAAGGAGCTGACCCCAGTGCAGCTGAGAACTGCCATGCAAGAAAGCAGGGTCATTAAGAGATGTTCTGGTTTTTCAATGAGGAACTAACTAGAATTTTTAAAAGTATTTTTGTGTTTTTTAAAAAATTGACAAATAATTAAAATAAGCAAATGCTTGGTGGGTAAACAGACAAATGACTAATACGTTTATATGAGTTCAGGTGTGCGTGTCTGCGACTGCAGGGGTAGTGTAGGACAAGCAGTGGAGTGCAGGGGGGATGGATAATATACTAGGAAATACGACATATGTGAAGAGGTCCAAAGTCTAGATAGGTCATGTGGCATGAGAACCACAAGTGGTTTGGAATGCTTGGTGCACTGATGTCAGTGCAGGAAGTGTGGGAGAAAGAAGCTGGTGAGGTAAGGGGAGGCCAGATCTCCCTTGCTGTGTCAGTTGTGATCAGGAATTTCAGCTTGATCCCTAGGACAATGACTAGTTTCCAAAGGGTATCAACCACGTACAGCAGAATCACATTTTCAAATTTGTATTAATTCTGGCCACAAAACGGTGAATAGAAAGGAAGAGCAGGGGCTGTAGGTAGCATGTTTTTGCAGGAAGGAAAAAAGAAAAGAAAGAGAAAGGAAGGAAGAAGGAAAGAGAGGAGAGAGAGAGAGAGAAGCAAATGGATTCAGAAATAGAGATTTCTGGGAGAGGGAGAGAAAATCCGTAGGTCTGGGGTAGAGGAGGAAGACGGTGAGCGAGGGGGATGAGGGAAGATTACCGTTGCCTTTCTGTTTCTGTACAATAAGTTTTACAGAAGATTCATGCCTCCAGTAACTCTTTACTCAGAGTAGGTAAGAAGGGGCCGCTTTAAAAAAATTATTCTTTTTATAAAGAAAAAGCACGGTGAAGCCCTGTCTCTACTAAAAATACAAAACATTAACCAGGCGTGGTGGCGGGTGCCTGTAGTCCCAGCTACTCGGGAGGCTGAGGCAGGAGAATGGCGTGAACCCGGGAGGCGGAGTTTGCAGTGAGCCGAGATCCGGCCACTGTGCTCCTGCCTGGGCAACAGAGTGAGACTCCATCTCAAAAAAAAAAAAGAAAGAAAGAAAAAGAAAAAAGGGAAAAGCAAACTTACTCCTAGTTTTCTCCTTTGTAAAGGCTAAAACAACCAGTTAAAAATGGAAATTTAGTTCACTGTGCAATTGAGTTCATAACTCACTGTGTCATTATGTTTCGTCAGCATCTGTAATTGAAATAATCCCCCCGTTTTGTGTCACTATCACCAGACTCTATAAGTCTCAAACCTTAAGGAGTGCATTTTTGCCCAAGAGACCACCCACCCCAGTCATCTTCTTCTCCATTAATAAACTTGTTGACTAAGTCACACGCAAGAAAATGTGCAATAGATCTTTCATTCTTCACTTCTGCTAAAAGAAAAATGACTCTAGCAAGATATATGAAGAGTTATTCAAATCCACTATGGGGAGTGACTACAAAATGAGAAAAACAAAACGAAACCAAACATTTGACTACATAAATCCTCTCCTCTTTATTCTACACACTCTCTAGGAAAGAAATAATGAACCTTCCTCTATGATCTGCTTGTGCTTATAATTGACTTATCTTGTGGTTAAAGAGATTTACTTACCAAAATTGAGACAGACAGGAGAATGCAATTTGGGTTTGGCCTCCTGGCCTGCTTGGGTATCACTTGTGGGAACTGAAAATATAATGACTGAACACATATTGTATTCTATGAATCATTACTTCAGAATGCGAGACGAGATTTATCCCTTAGGATAAATGTCTTTGGACGGAACAAGTGAATGTCATACATGTATTTATGAGTCTGCTGACCTGGTGGGATTTAGGAGAAACAACCCTTCTCTCCCCACTCTGCCCTGCCCCATGTCCCCCTCACGTCCTCCCCATTTCTAATCATTTCCTTGCTTTCCTCAAAGCCATTGACCCACCACTGGGCCAGTCTGACTAATGCCAGGAATTCTTTGAATTATCTACTCATTTCTTTAACTTACAGCTTTGTTTCTCACTTAACATCTCTATTCCCTGTCTAAGATTATGCATTTCAATTTCTCATCTGATCCACTTTCATAAGAACACATTTGTATCTGGTCATTTGCCCAGACAAAGATTTAATAAAGTTGTAGAATAATTTCTAGAATGAGGCTCAGATGAGAGATCCTAAGGGTACAGAAAATGAATGACAAGTTGGTCCTGACCTTGGTATTTTCCCTTCCACCTTCTCCTCCTCTCCGTTAGTACATCTGGCAGACCTCAGAGACCTGTGTGTGGCTTTTACTCATCCATATGTGTAGACTTGAGTCTGAGGATTTGAAACAAAAGTTGTGTTCTTTAAGGCCAGGCTGTACCTCTGCCTCCCCTGGGTTCTCCCACGAGTTTCAGCACCAAATAAATACCTTCTAATGGGGCTTAGCCTAGTTTCCTGGCTTGTCTCTCAACACACATTTTTTTGATATCAGAGGGGTAGGCTGGTGGAATATTGGATTTCTGATGGGAACAAAACACTCTGAAATATTAAATCTGCCTGATTCTTGAATAATTTTCAAGAAACATAAAACCTCTCTGAAACCTACAAGATACATCCTCAGCAGAAAGTTACAAGCCTATTGTGTAGGCTTGCAAAAAGAAATCTGTCTTCTAAATCATAATGTAAGAAAAAACTCAAGGATTAATTAGCACATATATATTAAGGACCTGGTTCTAGCCATTGTAAAGGTGCAAGAGAAGGCATAAGAGAGCAACAGTGATTCAACAGTATTGTACTCTATGTTATTTTCTTTCTCTCTTTCTCTCTTCCTTCCCTCCTTCCTTCCTTTCTTTCCTTTCTTTCCTCCTTTCCTCCTTTCCTCCTTTCCTCCTTTCCTCCTTTCCTCCTTTCCTCCTTTCCTCCTTTCCTCCTTTCCTCCTTCCTTCCTTCCTTCCTTCCTTCCTTCCTTCCTTCCTTCCTTCCTTTTTCTTTCTTTCTTTCTTTCTTTCTTTCTTTCTTTCTTTCTTTCTTTCTTTCTTTCTTTCTTTCTTTCTTCCTTTCTTTCTTTCTTTCTTTCTTTCGAAAGACTCTCGCCTTGTGGCCCAGGCTGGAGTGCAATGGTGTGATCTCGGCTCACTGCAGCCTCAGCCTCCCTGGTTCAAGCTATTCCTCTGCCTCAGCCTCCTGGGTTCAAGTGATTCTCCTGCCTCAGCCTCCCAAGTAGCTGGAATTACAGGCGCCTGCCACCATGCCTGGCTAACTTTTGTATTTTTAGTAGAAATGGGGTTTCACCATGTTGGCCAGGCAGGTCTTGAACTCCTGACCTCGGATGATCAGCCTGTCTTGGCCTCCCAAATTGCTGGGATTACAGTCATGCGCCACCGTGCCTGGCCTATTCTATGATCTTAATGAAGCCTCACCATGCACCCGCACAATAGATTGATTTTTATTTTATAGATCAAGTAGCTGAGACTTAGGTAATTCCAATGTCAATATGGCTAATCAGCGAGTGACATGACTTTGACTCCATGTCTATCTGGCTCTGGTCTACCCACCTTCCACTTCACTGCACTGCACTGCATAAGCATTAGGAAGCCTACTGAAGTTTTGTAAGTTGGTGTACTTAACAGCTGCTGTCTAACTTTGCCAGAAAGGACAGTCCCACTCTGTGCCTTCCACTTCAGGTGCAACTGTGCTGTAGACTGTGTAAGAACTTTTTTTTTTTCACAAGAAACATGGCCATCTGAAGTTTTACTCTGAAACCTGTAAAATACAGGAACTATAACCTTTCACTTTTTTTGTGTGTATACGGCAAGAGCCTGAGGGAGGGGATTCCCAGCCTAGAAGGATGTGTATTTTTTTCTTAACTTTTATTTTAGGTTCAGGGGTAGATTTGCAGGTTTATTATATAGGTAAACTTGTGTAATGGGGATTTGTTGTATAGATTATTTTGTCACCCAGATACTAAGCTTAGTACCCAATGGTTATATTTCTTTGATTTTCTCCCTCCTCCCTCCCGACACCCTCAAGTAGGACCCAGTGTCTGTTGCTCCCCTCTGCATCCAAGTATTCTCATCATTTACCTCCCACTTGTAAATGAGACTATGGGGTATTTGGTTTTCTGTTCCTGCCTTAGTTTGCTAAAGATAGTGGCCTATAGCTCCACCCATGTTTCTAGGACATGCATTTTTTTTGAGGCTCTTTGGAATTCCAACTCTCAATGGAAACTTTAATAAAAAATCAATTTAGCCCTGCATGACAACAGAGGACTACTTAACTCTTACCCATGCCAACATTAAACCTAAATGTATTGAGCCCTATAATACCTTACATTTCTTTCCTTTTATTTAACCTCTTAGGGGGAACGTCATCCAGACAGAAAGGCTTCCTAGGATGCATTCGCTCCTTACACTTGAATGGACAGAAACTGGACCTGGAAGAGAGGGCAAAGGTGACATCTGGAGTCAGGCCAGGCTGCCCGGGTCACTGCAGCAGCTATGGCAGCATCTGCCACAACGGGGGCAAGTGTGTGGAGAAGCACAATGGCTACCTATGCGATTGCACCAACTCACCTTATGAAGGGCCCTTTTGCAAAAAAGGTACCTTAGGCGCTCCCTTTCTCCTGAGTGCAGTGCTATATCACCTACATGCTATGATCAGGCCTTGTGATACTCACACTCTGAGACAGTCTTTATCATCTACTCTCCCTCTGTTTGAAGAGTCTGCATAGTTCCTCAACATAATTGCGTATACTTGTTGATATTGCGTGTGTTCACTGGCAATGCAACTGAACTGGATGGATAATTACAGGAAAACACCCTGCCCGTGGCCAAAAAGCCGGTTGAGCAGGGAAAGAGGTGGACTCCTATTTCTGTTGTTAGCTAGATTGTTAGTGAACACATTAATATGTCCACTTCCAATCCCTCTGTCTGCAAATGTAATCAAAGGATTGTAGAATCTAGCCCTGGGGGAGCCTTAGAGATACTTAAACCATCTTAAATTATTTTTACAACAAAGAGAGTATCAGTAAATTAGTAAACACAGCACCATGTATTTGGTGAAATCTCTCTATTCTGCAGGTGACTTGAGCGAATGTCTGAGGCTTTAAAAGCCCTGTCTGAAGGCTCATATTCAGTTCATTGGTGGGCTGGGACTGAAACACACATGAAAGTCAAAATTTCTGCTCCAGGGCTTTTTGTGTACCCCTTCACAATCTCATGAATTCATTACATTGACACAAATTAATAATCATGGACATACAGCTTGGACAAGGAATGAGGATCATTGTGTAAATTCTCTAGATAAATTCAAGATACCTCAAGAAACTAGAAAATCTCAATATTCAGTATGAATACGTAGTATTTTTCAAACATAAGAAATATTTGGTGTACTCTCAATTTTTGCAATATTTAAAAGTTTATTTAATTGATGGAGAAACGTTTGTTTAGTAAACAATGTAAACAATATTTCAAGAGCAGCATTTAAATTATTCAAATAAAATGGTTGAACCACTTTGAGACACCATTTACAAACAAACAATCATAGCAATTATATATAATTTTTCTCAATTCATTAAAGCACATCTTCAAAGCACCTTTACAAAACAATGGTTTATTTAGTCCAGCTTACTACTGTTGGAACTTAGAAACAAAAGGGAAAAAAAGCACTCACTGTTTTCTTTGAAGGATACTATAGTTTAAGCCTTCCGTTCATTCATACAGGGGGCTTCTCCTCAATTAGTTTGAATTACTTACTTATTCTTGCCAAAGAGCATGTTATGTTTCTTGGAAGAAAATTAATGGTAAAAATTTTAGGGCTAACTGCATGGAAACTTAAAATAAAACAGGTTCCATTCCGGGGGCTCATATTATGAACTAAACAAGCGAAGTGCTATTAGGTATTCACACTGGGGGAGGTGTCCGAACAACTTCCCCTGAGAAGTGTGAATGCTCCTCTTAAAGCCATCCCACACGCTAGGAGGAGCACAAACAATAAATACCATGAGACCCAGGCATTGAAATGCACAAGCATTCTTCTCAGCATCTCTACCCAAGACTTTTGTTTGGAAGAACATGAACAGGAGACCTCTCTGCATTTCTCTGGGGACATTATTCAAAGATCTTTTGGATCATATTGTTCTAAATGTGCCTAATTTCTCTTTTGTTGTTGTTGTCTCCTTTCTCCAGAACCATTCCTATTAATTTTCTTCCGTCCTCGGCCCTGGATCTTTTCCCTGCATATGCTGCAACATCTCTGTGCTCCCTCCCACTTTTAATTATGATCTGCAAGTTACACAGGCAAATGTGTGCCTAGCCTTTTCATGTGCATTGTAGTTTACTATTTCCAAACTGTTCATTCTTTCTGATATTTCTAAGAAAATGATTCCCTCTATATTTAGTCCTCACAATGTATGTAAGATGGCCTTTTTAGTCACATCTTTGAGCCCTGCCAACTGCCTCTGGGGAATGTGGCCGGAATTGAAATGGGGAGCCGGAGGCTACAAGATGGTTCTGAACAGAGGGTGATCTGTTGGGCGACTGGTGCAGCCTTCCATGCTACTTACTATGGCACTGTATATTTCAAGGAGATGGTGTGTACATACTGAATATATCTTGTATAGAATTGGGGACTTTTTTTTCATTATCAATTCCTAGGTCAGAACTATGTTTCATTGGCCATTTTTCTGTTTCTCATAATAGTACGAAGAAGTAATCATCATAAAAAATAAACTAGTCGTTAACTGCAACATATATTCCTCATCCAAACAAATAGAGCAGGTATTAACATCTAAATTTGACTTATTAGGGGTTCATAAAGTTGTACTAACTTGCTAAATGTCAGGAGGTCCATCTAGCTTGTCTTTGCTTCATTTTTTCTCTTTATGACCCTAATTTCATTCTATATGTGAACATGGTAATAGGATTCCATCGCTTCAAATATGCAGCTTTTGTTTTGTGTATTTTTTTCTCTCTCTATTATTGAGATGTAATTTATATATCATAAAACCCACCCTTTTAAGGTGTATAATTCAGTGATGTTTAGGATACTCACACAGTTGTATAACGATCACCACCATCAATTTCAGAATATTTTCATCATCTCAAAAAGAAATTCCATGTCATTAGCAGTCACTCCCCAGTTACCTCTTCCTGCATCCCTGGAAACTACTAATCTACTTTCTTTTCCTGTAGATTTGCCCATCCTGAGCCTTTCATATAAATAGAACCATATAGTATGTGATCTTTTTGTGTCTGATTTCTTTTACTTCACATACTATTCTCCCGGTTCATCCATGTTACAACATTCATCATTACTTTATTCATTTTTAATTGCCAAAGAGTGTTCCATAGTGCGAAAGCACCACAGTTTGTTTATCCATTCATCTATTGATCAGTTAATGAATGTTGGGATGGTTTCATTTGTTTGGCTATCATACATAACACTGCTATAAATATGTACACATTTTTGTGCAGACACATATTGTCTATCCTCTTGGATATATACCTAGAAGTGAGATTGTTGTGTCATACGGTAACTATAGGTTTAATCTTTTTGAGGAACTGCCAAACTTTTTCAGAGCGGCTGCTCCATTTTGCATTCTCACTGGCAGTGAATGAGGGCTCCAATTTCTTCACCTTCTTGCCAACACTTTTTACTGTCTGACTTTTTGATAATAGACATCCTAATGAATATGAAATGCTATTGCATTGTGGTTTTGACTTGCATGCCCTAATGACTAATGATATTGGATATCTTTTCCTGTGCTTATTGTCCATTTGTATACATCAATTTTTTGGAGAAATGTCTAACATCTTTTGTAGATTTTAAATTTTTTCTTCTTTTTATTAGTCAGTTGTAATAATTTGTTGTGTGTTTGGAATATAATTCCCTTATGAGATATATAATTTGCAAATGTTTTCTCCAGTTCTATGGGTTGTATTTTGTCTTCTTCATAGTGTCTTTTGAAACACTAAAGTTTTAAATTCTGTTCAAATTCATTTTCCCTAGTCTCCTATCTTTTTTGCTTATATATTTAGGATCATAGCTAAGGAACCCTTACTTAATCCAAGATCATGAAGATTTATACCTATGGTTTCTCCTAAGAGTTTTATAGTTTTACCTCTCACAGTTAGGTCTTTGATGCATTATGAGTGAATTTTCGTATTTGTTGTGAGGTAGAAGGTCCAGCTTTAATCTTTTGCATTTGGATATATCCTTGTCTCAACACCATTTGTTGATGTGTGTTTGTCGTTAGCTCTCTTATCCCCCCTACACATACACCATTAATAAAGAACCTGGATATGACTGTCATAGTGTTTTAATTTAAATGTTTTTCTTCCTAATTAAAACGTAAGATAATTATTTATAAAATTTGTTTGAAAATTTATTTAGAAATCTAGAAAAGTTAAAACCCAATCTAATACTCAGAAATAATCATTAATAGGGAACTTGTACTTCCTTCTAGTTTTTTTCCCCTTGCCCTTAATATAACTAAGATAATTTTGTCCATTACATTGTATATTCTGGATTTTCTGTATTTCCTTTCAAAAGCATTTCTATGTAAGTCATCAGTATTTGTAAACATTCGTCTTAATGACTGCGTTATGTTCCATCTGGTGTTACTGCCTTTTCGTGTCCATCCTTTTACCAGAGCATTACCGCTCACAGAGAAATCATGGCGCTCTGGCACCACCCCTGCCCAAGTTCAGGTTCTGGTTCGTCTACAGTCCACGTTGTGTGACACTGGTTGTGTACTTTAACGTCAAGATTCCTTGGTTTCCTCATCTAGGAGTTGTGGAAAGTGCCAAACTCTTTCACAGGGAGTCGTGTTTAACATTCGATGAGCACCCCACAAAGCACACGCCCACGGCGTGTAAAGTCTCACTAAATACTGGCTCTTCTTATTGATTGAAATTTTTCATTATCTAAAATTTTGTATGTAAATAATGCTATGATAAACACATATATTGATTATTTTCTTAATAACAGAATTTCAGTGAAAAAATAAAAGTATGTACATTTGGGTACTCTTTACATATTGCCAAAAATCTGTCCAGAAATCATTTAATACTTATATTCCTTTCAACTTATACCATTTATTTACTTTTTATTATGGAAAAATGGCAAACGTATGCTGTAGGACAGGGAAGAATTTAAAAACTCCCATTCACTGTTTATCTAACTTCAACAGTTACAAACACATGATCATTTTTATTTCATCGATACACTCACCTCCTATCCTCCCCCTTTATTATTTTGAAGAAAATCCCAGATATAATACTATTTCATCTATAAATATTACATCATGTATTGCTAAAAGATAAGCACTCATGATAAACACATAGCCACAGGATCATTATCATAAGAAAATTATAATAATTTTTGAAATAATTTCTCAGTGTTCAAATTTCCAATTGTTTTATTTTTATTTAGTTTGCTTGATTTTATCTAAATCAGCTGGATGATTTCTGGGTAATTTCTAGACTATTCATTAGCCAGGACTGGTCTTTTTGTTTGTTCTAATTCCAAATCAAATTATACTACTATTATTAAAACCAGCTACTGTTCATTGAGTTCCTACTATGTGCTGTGCTTTTACGTACTTTCTTCCAATCCTTTCACCCCCCCAAGACTGAATTCATCCTGATTTATATTTGAGTAACCTGAGGTCGAGTGGGATTCCGTGATTGCAGGACATGGGTAGATTCAGGTTCTATCTCCAAGTCTACAGGCCCCATGGAAGCTCAGAGACGCACCCTCCAGTACCATCCCATTTCCAGCTCCTCCTAGTTCATGTCACCCATCAATGCCCTGTCGATATGGAGATCCCCTTGCAGGTCTCAGGAGGCTCTTCTCTCAGAGACATCCAGCTCCGGAAAACATTGTCTCTGTCACTAACACATCAAGCCCAAGGTTAATTTCCATTGGTCCACTGGTATTTTTGTTTTGTTTTGTTTTGGTTTGTTGTTTTGTTTTGTTTTGTTTGACAGAGTCTCTCTCTGTCACCCTGGCTGGAGTGCAGTGGCGCAATCTCAGCTCACTGCAATCTCCGCCTCTTGGGTTCAAGCGATTCTCCTGTCTTGGCCTCCCCGGTAGCTGGGATTACAAGAGCCTGCCACCACACCCAGCTAATTTTTGTATTTTTAGTAGAGATGGGGTTTTGCCATGTTGGTCATGCTGGGCTCGAACTCCTGACCTCAGGTGATCCAACCACGGCCTCCCAATGTGCTGGGATTACAGGCATGAGCCACCACACCCTCTCCAGATGTTAGTTTTTAAAAAATGTGTGTCTTACCATCTCAGAACCTAGTTAGCATAGGTTCTTCCACCAAGCGGGTGCTCAAGGGGTGTTGTTGATAGTGGCTCTGTGGCCTTGGAGAAGCATCATGGTCATTTGAAATCACTTTCAAGTTAAGTGTCTTTATCCTTTTTGGCCGGTGGTTTTAAATGTTCAGCTAACTCAATTCATCTGATCAAAAGCTTATACTCTTAGATTATAAAGTATAAGAAACTGAAAGAATAATAGAGTCCAGGGGTATTGCTGAATTTAGCTTTATGATAAAACAGACAATATTTAAACATTAAAAATAATTAGAACTGGGGCTGGAGGAAGAGTGACAACAGAAATTTGGTCTGACATCCCTAATTACAAAATGCTTTTCATTTTTAATTTATTGTCTTAAGTATAAAGAAAAAAGTAATATCCTGTATATGCCTATATCTATATTTATGTTATTCCTAACAGAATGCTCTGAATTTTACTTCCTTTTAAGCAGACACACAAATACCAAATTAGAGTCCTTTATTTTGTTAACTAAGAGGCCATTGCTCAGAATGCAGACCAAATATCCCTGAGAAAATTTACTCAAGGAAAATTCTTGGATCAAACTGATGATAACCAGAATTCTCACTGTCACAGATGTCTGCTGCATATTTTTATAATCAGGAGTACCAAGGTTGTAACCTGTATGATAAATGCAAAATGCTTTCACTGAACCTTTAGTATAAACGAACTAGTATTCCCAATCTGCTAGGCAATATGCATAAATATGCAACTTTAATTTTTTGGCACTGTAACAGATTGTTATAGAATTTTCACAAGGTGGAACACATTTGCAATAGAATTAGGAAGCAAAAGCCAGGTATCATTATATTCTAGGTGCCACCAACTCAATCAGAGACTTTCATGGGGAATTCAGAACATTCCATATGCCATTTAGGACAAAAGGAAATTAGTCATGCCAATATGGGTTCATGTTTACTGTGCAGTTTTTATGGCAGAGGTTTGCTGCCTGATCTAAGGTGTGCTGCCCTGTGAAAGAGCCTTCCCCACACACTCTGTTACTGTATAGAGATAAAATGTAAAGTGAACTCAAGAGCAGCCTTGATCTAAAGAGAGCATCTCAGCATTTGGATAGATGAGCAGTTAATGAATATATTGTATAGAGTCTATTGGGGTGGCTTCAGGTTAAATTCTCTTCTAACACTCCGTAAATTCAAACTGTACTGGGCAACTCTCTTAAGTGCTTTACATACATCAGCTCGCATACATCAGAGAAATACTGATGAGGTAGGTGTTATGATTCCCATTCACCAGATAAGAAAACATTCTCCATAGAGTTCATTATCTTGCCTGGGACCACATGGTCGGGATGAAATCAAGTGAGACTCCATATCCAGTGCTGACTCGCTCAGTGCTAGTTCCACTACACTAACATGGTAACAGTTGGTGTGCTAGAGCATTCTTCAAGGAGGTTGGGTGATTTACAGATCCCGCTAAATGAATTTTATCAGTTTCTAGATCTGATATTTCTTCCTGGTGGTGGCAGATCTCCATTCAGTGTGTTATGCTAGAGGGATTGTTTCCCATAGGAAAGCCTATTTACCCAAGTCTTGGGTATATTTTGGAACTGAGTACCAATGCCTACTCATCTAAAAAAGTGAGTTTAAGAGTTGGATACCTATGCCTTTTCTACTTTTTCCATAAATTTTTTTTTTTTGCTGTTTTCATTGTTCTTCACACTTTACCCAATATCATAGAGAATTACTGCTGTTCACCCGAATGTCTTGCTCCGTATTGAGAGACCATCCACAATGTCCCGGAGATACCAGAAGAAGAACACAAACTAAAACTGTCAAATTCTCAGTTTTGGGAGTAAGATGGTTCCAGTATATTTCTCCATGCACTATGCTGGAAGCAGGGACATGTTATCTTTGCTTCTCAGGAAATTAGCCTGGCACATGGTCATTATTTTGCAGATGTATGTAGAGCTGGAATTAAACCACAGGAGGCACACCTGAGCTTTCTTTTCTGGTTCTGCAACCCTGTTCAAGGTCTGTTACCTATGAGAGCGTTAAGTTTTTCATTTGTAAATAAGGATAGTGACTTCTGCCGCTTCAAAATTATTGTGGGGAACATGTTGTCTGATGCATGTAACACTCCTCACACAGTGCCCAGTGCATAGGAAACAAGAGAAAGCAGTTATGGCTAGCATGAGCAATGGACCTAAATATTTCAATGTGTGCTCTTCCCTCTTATATTTTGCAGAGGTTTCTGCTGTTTTTGAGGCTGGCACGTCGGTTACTTACATGTTTCAAGAACCCTATCCTGTGACCAAGAATATAAGCCTGTCATCCTCAGCTATTTACACAGATTCAGCTCCATCCAAGGAAAACATCGCATTTAGCTTTGTGACAGCTCAGACACCCAGTCTTTTGCTCTTTGTCAATTCTTCTTCTCAGGACTTCCTGGCTGTTCTGCTCTGCAAGAATGGTGAGTGTGATGGCATGATGCTCAGCGGAGTCTCAGCCTAGGCTGGAGGGATGGTGTGTGCCCTCCAGAACTATGCATAATTTCAACCTCAAGTTGGTCCCACCTGGGAAGCTTATTTCCAGACTTCCAGCCAAATCCTTGATTATACTTTACCTTCATGAGTTGCAATTGGTATTCAGGGCCAGTGTCAATTCACTGCTGAAGTCTCAAATGCATTGACTTTAATTCGCCTCAACTGGATCGCAGTAATTCTTTATTATTTATTCTGTGCTGGAATCCATTAAGTGCAAAGGAGAAGATCATAAGCATATCTGAATTTCAGAAGGACACTTGCCACATATATTTTGTCATCTATGCTGCAGTCGTTTTTACTGAGGACTGTTAAAACAATTAGCATACTTGCAGGCTGTATTAATAGAAGGCGATTGTCCAGGTCTTACAGAGAAGTAGTTAGTATATAAGTCATAACCTTGGGGAATAGCTGGCTTGCTTCTGAGAATCAGATTTCTTTTTTTCAGGCTTTTTTTTTTAAGATAATGACAAACTGTGGCATTTGTTATTTTGAAACAGAAAGATTTGGGGCATTTTATTTGACAAAACTATAATACTATTGTTTTATAAATCAAAATGTTATCACTTCCTCTCTTTTTGATAATTACTCCAACTTGATACAAAATTCACAAAAATACAAGGCATTTTTTTTCCTAATGCTAAATAAACGATTAATTTTTAAAAATTTTTATTTATTATTTAAGCTTCAAAACTAGTGATAAGCTCAATATCATCGTATCTGAGGAAGAGATCATTTTTCAATTTGCATGGTATCTAATAGGTTCTAGCACCTAAATTGCCCATTATTAATTTAAGTAGTAGGTGAGAATCAGATTTTGAAAAGAATTTGGACAAAATGAAAGATGAGAAGTTGAGAGTGATAAGCAAGATGGAATACACTTCATGCAAGGAATGGTGAACGACAGCAGTTAGGATGGCTACTATGAGTTAAGATTTTCTTCTGATCCTGCTTAATTCCACTCTGCAAGGATGACTCTCGATACAGTCATGGCAGGAATACTATTAGATGAAAACCTTATGGGGTAGAACATACAATAGTATGATTTCAAAAAACACTGTATTGTGATTAAGAATACAACTTCCTTCTCCTTGTCATCTGCTGTTGTCATGAGATGGGGCTGGGGCTTGGCAGATTCTGCCCAAGCTGTGCCACTGAGTTTCTGCACAGACAGTGGTGGGACTTAGCAGAAAGGAAGCCTGGAGTGTGTCCCGTACACAGAGTCCTCTCCAGGCCTTAGGAGAAAACTCTCAATGATTATCTTGCTTTGTTTTTTCTTGGGTTTATTCCGCTTTAATTCATCTTGCTTTCCAGCTATTTACAACATCAAAAGCCATGAATAATGTGTGGGCATAAAGAAATGATCAAATGCTGAATCAGGCCTGAAGTGAAATAATAATGACAATGGACCACATGATGTAACAAGTGTCCTTCTTTCTAAGAGAAAAATAGAAGGGAAGGAAAATAGAGAGAAATAGAGACTAGGATGACAATGTTCATTCCAAGCCCATCTGGAATTCAAGAACCCACAAGAGAGATGGGTAAACACTGGGTAATTAGATCTGTTTATCAATAGCCCTTTATGTGATTATGATTAGGACCATTCTATCAACACAGCAGATCTTAGACTCTGCCCATCAGGGCTTTGTGAGGGTGATAAAGCTGATGGAGGACACTGAGGCATGGAGAAGTTCAGCAGGTGGACATACCAACGAGGTAATCTATGGCACAGTGTGGACCAGAATCCAGGATTCCCAATAGTTAGCCAGCAGCCTTCATTCTAAATAATATCATCTTCTAATGATGTCATTGGACCATAGTAAGATGGTTGGTTACAACCAATGCAAGATTTTTTCCAAAACATCTTTTGGGTATAGTTCCATAGGCACAATTGTACCTGTCAGGCCATGCCTAGGGACATACAGCTGCCATGAAGACAGACAGTGCATAATGAATATAATTGTATCAAATTGCACACACACATATAACTCTGTACTGAGCACTATGTTAATTAATCTACACAACATTTACTCCTCATCACAACCCTGCTTGATTGATTTATTGTTGTAGAAACTGAGGCACTTCAAAATCTCACAGCAAGTAAGAAGCAGAGCTGGATTCACCCTCCCTTCTTCAGTCTGGTGGCATAATCTGTATTCTTAACCACCAGGGCTAAACAAAGAGTGTTTTTAAAATGCACAATGTTTCAAATAATGTGAATCTATTTAATTGAGAAAGCATTCTTGAATTCTTCCCTGCCCCTATCTTCTTACATCCTGAAGTCTTACTCTATTAAAAGCTGCCTGATCCCATAGGCATCTGCACGTTTTAAAATCCTGGCTACATGCAGGAGTCAAGAAGGTACTTGTGGCTTGTTTGTATGATTGTTTAAGCTTAGGTCTCAGGGCATGTGTGAAAGTTCAGGTATGAGTCCTGAGCCAAATATGAGTGACCATGGTCTGTGACACAGTCCTCAGGAGGTCCTGAGAGTGTGTGCCCAAAGTGGTCAGGGTACAGGTTGGTTTTATATATTTTAGGTTTTATATATTTTAGTTAGCTCAGGTTAACTCATGGGAGATGGATGTCCAGGACATTGTTATTAATAGAGTGTTCCCCTTCCCCACTCCAGCTCAGAACACCCCCACCACACCTTGCTCCAGGGAACCCACAGCAGTAGGTTGTGAGAAAGATGCCCTGTTTAGAATCCTGGGGATCTTTTGCCGTCTCCTTATACTGCAGAGATACAACTAAGATATGTGCTCAATCATTCATTTTTTCATTAAGTCTCTGGGTAATTACTAGTCAAACTGCACAGTATCAGGAACTGTGAAGATAAGCAAAGAAAAGCAGGACTAAGTGCTGTCTAAAGGCGATAAGGAATGACAGACTAAAAAATCTGCCTTTAACTTTTTGAAAAGCAATCTAGATAGAGGAGGCAATCGTGTTACCCAGATTTCTGAAGCAATCTAACTAGAAGGGAGATTTTGACTAAATTTTAAGATGAATCTTCTAGAAATTCAGGGATCATAACAGTAGAACAAAATACCTTTGGTGGAGTGAATTCTTTGCCGTTGAAGGTCCTCAAATGAAAATGCATGACTATTTGTTGGAGAAACCATAATAACTATCGCAGGAGTGGACGACAGGAAAAAAATAATAACATCTGAGTTTCTTCCCAAGTCTTAGATTTTGTGATTCTTTATTCCCTTCTTGTGTAGTCTTACATTAATATTTCTTTCTGTTAAGGCTTCATTTGCAGACTTTGAAATGTTGCTTTGAGGAATAAAGAATCGATATTCTTACAGCTTGTTCCCAGTATGTTTGTTCCATTAGGCCATTGACCTAATTACCAGAGAATCATGGGGGTGGGCATTGCATGATAAAGAACTGGGAATATTTTAATGTTATTTTGATACACTGTCATGAAAACATATACCTGCGAAAATACTATTGAGAGTTAAAGATTATTAGAGATTGCGAAAAAATCGGAAAACCACGGGGTTTACAGGGGAAGGTTATTTATTATCTGTGAGAACTTTTATGATAACATTGATTCAAACCTCCCTGAGAAGAGTTAAGAGTCTTCTGTTAGTCCAGTTGTCTTAGCCTTTGTGACTGAAGATAGCCTTGGGAATCTGGTGGAAATTAAGATGAGAGGGCCACTCTTATAGGGAGCCCATTTTGCTTTCTCCAAAAAAAAAAATCGAGTATCTGCCTCCAGGTTTGCACAATGGCTCTAATTTCAGCACTCTTGGGTTAAGAAGTCAGCAGGTGGAGTAAGGTGGATGAGTTGCATAAACACGGCACACAATTCTCAGCTTGCAAATTCATTTAATATAGTTGAACAGGCCAGAGGAAAGAAGGTCAATGTGATTCAAAGCCATGGTTATAAGTCTCTCCCTGGCAGGGGTTTGATTTTCCGGGGTTGGAATTCTTCTTTGCCCTTTATCATTATTCTTGAAATTTCTACAACTAGAGACTCATTCAGGTTAAACTGCTGATGTGTTTTCAAAGGAAAACAGGTACTTCTTCCTAAATAAAAAGGAATAATTTTAAATTCTGTAATGGAAGAACAGAGGCAGAAAGAGAGACATTTTGAGGTCAGAGTTGTTAGGAAAGAGAAGGCGGTTTTAGTTCCATAACCTGGGGCTTTGGCCACAGACAACTTCTCTTGAGTCTGGACAGTTGGAGGAGAAGGGGTCTTGAAGAGAGGAAAGGGGTCCAGAAAGGGAGATGAGCTCATTCTAAAGATACACAGGACCTTCACAGAATTGTATTATGTGATGGTTTTGCCTTCTCCACAGTAGTGGGGATTTTTCTTTCAAATTTGCAACTCAGAAAATATCCATGGAACACCTACCAAGTGGCACATACTAGCTCATGTACTGGAGAGACAAAGACAGACAGAAAGGACCCTTCCCTGGCTTTAAGAAATCTAGTTGGCCGGACGCGATGACTCACGCCTGTAATCCCAGCACTTTGGGAGGCCCAGGCGGGCAGATCACGAGGTCAGGAGTCGAGACCATCCTGGCTAACACGGTGAAACCCCGTCTGTACTAAAAATACAAAAAACTAGCCAGGCAAGGTGGCGGGCGCCTGTAGTCCCAGCTACTCGGGAGGCTGAGGCAGGAGAATGGGGTGAACCCGGGAGGCGTAGCTTGCAGTGAGCTGAGATCGCACCACTGCACTCCAGCCTGGGCGACAGAGCAAGACTCCATCTCAAAAACAAAAAAAAAAAAAAAAAAAAAAAAAAAGAAAGAAATCTAGTTATGGGACAGAAACATAAATAAAAACAACCAAATGTCATAGATGCTAGGTAGAAGTCTGTTCTAGGTAGAGTGAGTTAAAGATGATCAATTATCTCTGGGAGACAAGGTCAGAAAAGGCTTCCTAGAGAGGGTGACACTTGAGTTGGTCATGAAAGATAAAT